GTTCATCAGTTCCTTCAAGTTTGCAAAGTTCTGCTGAGGTGTTCTCATTATCTAGGTCCACTGAAAGTCATTTTACAGATGCACACAATGCAGAACATTCTCTGGAAGTTGGTGATAATATTTACGATCATCTTTGTCATCTTGTAGGGGATATAGAAACAATAACTTCCTATTATGAGTGCAGTCAACACACAATAGATGATAGTGAGGCAGATTTGCTGTCTTCCATACAGAAGTATTTTAACGAGCCTACTGAAGAAACGGAACACACCAAACATAAATCGGGAGAGGATGCAAATGGCATTTCCTTAAATGAAAGTATTGCGTTAATGGTAGGTGAGACTGATCTAGGCTATGTGAGGCAAGTAAAAATATGCAATACTAGTAGCCAGGATAAGATTTTGGGAGGGAAAACTGAAACGCAGGTAAAAGTACAGGACCTGGAAAATGCTGAAAGTTCTGTTCCATATCTAGAAGATGATTATTTGAGTATTACTACATTTACTGCTAAAGAAAAGCAGTTGCCAGAGACCAATATTGAACAGCATAATTACAAGCCACTTGAAAGCTTTGAACAGGGAATTTCATCACAAATGGAGTCAGAAACTCCAGATTGCAAACAGAGGCAAAAAGTTCTTATTCGCCAGACGGCAACTGAGGTAGACCATAGAAACATGGTAGTCTCAACAGATCAGCAATGTGAAAGGAAACAGCTAGCTGATGCCTCTTGCCAAACCTCTGCCATTGTACAACTAAATAAGTTACCTGAAGCATATAGCATGTGTTCAAATACGTTTCCACACAGCACCACAATTACTGACCCACTTAAAGCTTTAAGTGCACAAAAATCTTCAGCTAACCAAGAAATCACTGCAGCAACACCAGAACCGCAGTACTTGAGCATAGCAAATAAGAAAAAAAATAGCAATATGCATGTTAGTTTTAGGCCATCTACTGAGTCTGTACAGTTCCACAGTCAGGTGGACAGTAAGGAAGCTCATTGGAAGTTGAGACTTCGAAGACTCGGTGGTTTCAGCAGTGGCTCTTCTGCACCAACTGATTCAGTGAAACCTGGTGTCTATAGACCTCTTGACACGAGAGTTTCTCATAATGAATATAAGAATCGGAAGTCAACATTGATTACTGCTGCAAGTATCCCACTGCCTAAGGGAAGTACAGGTGGTAGTCAGGGCACTGGTCATGGAACACTTAGGTCATGTAGCTTACAGGAATCAGTACAGCAACAGAGTTCCCTCGGTGGTGTTTACAGAACTGTTGTACACGCTTTTTCAAAGTCGAAAGCAAATGTTTCCCCACAGAGGCAGAGAAAAGTACCAGCAGAGGCTCCACTGAGGGATCTTTACAGTCATGTTTTGGGATATTTTGGAAGGAAAGTTGCAGGTGAGCACTAACAGTGTGCAGTGCACAAAGGAGCACCTGTTTGGCTTGATGCAACAGAAAAGCTTTAAGCAATCAAAGAGCTTGGAGATGATAACTGCTTTTTTTTATTGGTCTTGCATGCGCTTTTGATTATCTGGTATGTCCTGGCAAATATTTTGTTTACCCCTGCCCCTCCACCAATTTATACTAATGTCTCCCTTTTATGTATGCAGGTTTTCAGTTGTTAATCTTTGACAGTGAAATTATTTGTGGTTGGTTATGGTAATGTCCATTTTAGACTGTATTAAACATTTTCAGCACTAGGGGACAGACTTTTCAAGTATAATGTCCCCGTAGAGTCTTGCATTGAGAAGTTACATGTGTTTGTAAAGGTGTATTTCATCTTTTGACTTTCAAGGAAATAAACTTGCACGATGAAACCATTTAAAATGAAGACATTTTAAAGTATGGTAGTAGAAAAATAATTTATTGTATCTCGAAGAAAAATATGTTGACAGTTTAGACTGTGTAATAAAATTCCTCTTTCATCAAAGATTAAAAATTGTTAACCTCTACTAATCTTTTAATGTAAAGTATGCTAAAGCTAACTTGAGATTACTTCTAATGCACACAGTAAGGATAGGACACTTCATATCTTGGGGGACTGCATGATTTGGCAAGTAACCCTTGCAATGCTAAATTCCGTTTATTGCTTTGATTAGTACGTTTATTATGTTTCTTTGTTGATTATGAAGTTATGTTATTGTGTTTTAAATGCCTTATTTGCTTTCAGTCAACAAGGAAGACCCTAATCAGAAACCCCGACCTTTCAGCACTGATATTGGCAATAGTAATCCCAACATCAGTGATCTTATGGATGAGTTTATAGCAGAACGATTGCGAACTGGTACTTCAGTGGTAAGTCAGTTTACTTCCTTGTCTTAAACATTTTATAGCTACTAGTTACAATTCCTTCTATTCTGCATACTTCCTACATTGCTCTTTTCTGCAACCAAGCATCAAGAAGTGGGTATGATTCGGCAATAAGTATTTTTTCGCATGGCTACACAACATAAACAATTAGCCGTCACCATACTCAGTACTTTTCTCAAAATTGATATTAATCTGGTGGTCAGTAAAAGTGGCAAATTTTAGTAAACTCCAGAAGCTTTACTCACACGGTATTTTTACAGTCTGGTGAAACCTCGTGTGTAAGCATTCTAATCAATGACTCATATAATATGCTCAATGGAAGTGCTAATAGTGAGACTATTAAAATGGAATTTATGTTTATTAAGTGTGTGTATAATTGACACTTGTTTGTTTGTCTTGGTGCAGGATAGGAAATGTTAATGGACCGCACACTTTGACATTGTATGTTTTTCAGTTTTTAAGAGTTAATAGTGTCCTGTCCTAATAAATGATGTCAGAAAATAGAGGATTTTGAGAAGTAATCAAGCACCTTTAACAGGACAGGAACAAAGTTAGCAAAAGAAGATAGAACTTAAGAGACAACAAGGTGCAGGGCTGGATGAACACAGCAGGCCAAGCAGCATCATAGGAGCAGAGAGGCTGACGTTTCGGGCCTAGACCCTTCATCAGAAAAAGGGTCTGATGAAGGGT